AATAACTCAAAAATTGTATAGGAAAGAGTTATCATTCTTGCACACAACATTCCTCCTCAATAAGATCTATCCACCTATGACATTTCATGTTGATATCTCAAAACACTTTTTGAGTTATGCTCCACTCAGGTGAAAAATTAGTATGAAAAATAACAAAATGGCAATTACTCAAAAATTAGGGAAGTTAGAGTTATCATTCTTGTGCACGTGCACACCTCCTGAGTGAGATCTATGCACCTATGAAGTTTCATGTTAATATCTCATAGGCTTTTGAGTTATGCTCTGGACAAAAAATCAATTTTGAAAAATAACAAAGGGCAATAACTCAAAAATCATGCAAAGGTAGAGTTATCATTCTTGTGCACTGCACTCCTCCTCAATGAGGTTTATCCACCTATGAAGTTTTCAAGTTGATAACTCAAATACTTTAAGAGATATGCTCCGGACAAAAAATGTCGGACGGAAGGACGGACGGAAGGTCGGACGGACGGAGACCTATTTCTAAATCCCCGGGGAAAATTTTCGGCGGGGGATAAAAAAGCTTTTGGAGAAATAAAAAATAAAAGCATTTCTGAGGCAAAAAATGGCCCTTTAAATTTTGGATTACATAAAATAAGCCAACAATTTTTAAATATAAAATTTCAAAAAATCATTTTATCAAATTGGGCAGTTTCTTATTTCTTCTTCTGAAACGCAACAAAAAATCGAATTTTTATTGTTACAGGCCTTACAAAAAAATGTTAAGAGAACATTATTGAAGTTGACTAGGGCTATTTCCCTTTCAATTGAGCTGATTCTGTTAAAGCAAAACTGCAGGTAATTCATAATATGTGCTAATAAAATGTTTAAGGTGCCCTAAGAAGGCATAGGATGCATTAGTACCGAAGGGACGGTCAGAAAATATCGGGACTTTTCATGCTTTCCTTTCTCTTTTCCATTGCATATTACTTTACAAATTAATATATTGGTGAAATACCAATTCATTCGCCAAATAACTGTGGTCCAGTCTATTTTCAATGATAGTTTGTTACACAGATTTTGCCCTCTGATATAATGAAGGTGTTTTGTCTATCATGGACTTTGTTAGAGGAACAACATTTTCACGGGTCACAAAACCATATGACACCAGTTACGGTTGGGTTCCAGGAAGCGACCTAGAAAGTTATTTAAATATAATTTTGCAAGAACTTGTTTCAGCAATTCGAGCTTAAAATAAATAGTTTAAAGAAGGGAACAACGCCGTAATAAAGTTTCTCGTTGCAGAAAAAGGGACAAAGCCCTGCCACATCTTTCAGCGGCCCTTAAAAAAATTTCTATAAATGTGTACGCAGAATAAGCTTTCAAACCCTTCCCTTCAACCGGGCTACATTTCTGAAGGCAGAATAAGGTTTTACAAATTGGACTGGCGGCCAACTGAGGCGGTGTCCCCAACAATGTTAGGCAAATGTTAAAGCTTTTGTCAACAAAAATTATCGAAAGTTAACCCTTTGGAGGATCAGGCAAAAAGGGTTAAAGCATCGGTAAGGCATCGCAACACAATGGATTTACCACATAAACACCTAAGTGCAATAGCAAGATAAATTGCCAGATGGGTTGCCAGGACGCTGTCCGCAGAACAAAAAGGAACCAAAAGTTAACCAATTCCCCAAATGAACATTTAAGTTGTTTTTAATTGTGAAAGGAAGATAAGTTTTTGAAACCCCATTATCACTTTGGGAGAGAGATGTGGGGTTCATTTATTTCCGAAAACCTGAAGACAAAAGCCTCAGTCCCAAAGCAGTGGAAAAATGAAGCTGGTCCCCCTCTCCTAAAAAAGTTTAAAAGCTGTCTCCTTCGGCTGGCAAAGTCATTTGCTTCTTTGACCTTTTAGGATTCACGAGGAATGATTACTTACTCATTTCATGCAAAAAGGTCAAATGTCAACCGCCAAGTACTATTCTGATGAAAGTAATTCTGAAAAATCTCAGAGAAAAGCTGAAGCAAATGCTTCCCAGGTATAGAACTAGAAAAAATTTTCCCTTCGTCACTATTTAATGCCCCCTCCACATATCGCAGCAGCTACAGTGGCAGTTTCAACTCTTACAAATGGCAATTGTTGTTCTCAACCACCCTCCTTATAGCCCAGACCTTCGCCCCCCTGTGACTTTTATTTGTTTTTCCAGAACTGAAAAAAATTGACTTGCTTTGGAAAAAATAAGAAGGACCAGGCGGGCTTTATTATCTGCTGTAAACATAGGTTTACGTCAGGTTTCACAGGGAATTACAAAAGCTCCCACCAAGATGGGCAAAAGTTGCGTAGAACATATCTGGAGAATATTTTAAAAAAAAGTAGAAAGATCTTTTTTTACAAAAGCTTTTGAATGGGTTTTTTCGAGAAAAGTCAAAAGTCCGGAATATTTTTCTGACTTTCCCCTTCGTATTGCATTGCCCTTTACAAATTACTTCTGTGTTTCGGACTAATTGTGCCATGAGAAAATTACAGAATGCTTCTATTTGTTTATTAAATGTTTATTTTGGGTACCAATCTAAGTTCAGGAATCATGACAACTTTAGATTAGTCATTCATTGCACTGTTAGGTTTATAAAAAGTAAAATAATAATAATCATAATCATTTCACTGATACATAACTTTGCATTTTTTAAATACTTATGTATTTTTTTAATTAAACAATTTTTTTAGTATGATCGTTATTAGTCTCTTCAATTTGTTTTTGGTCAAAAACTCAAAATTTCTATTAAAATGTGCTATATAAACAAACCAATCCTTCTGCTAACCCAAATTGATCACTTGACCATTTGCTTGCTGTTTACTATGTTAACTTGTATTAATTTATACCAATCTGCCCCCTTATTAACGTTACACTAAGGATCTGACGGCACTAACAGGAGGTGACCTTGACGGGCCTATCAGGAGGTCACCTTCTCGCCCAACCCTTTAAACTGCCAATCATAATGGGTTATTGACAGGAAAGCAGTTTTCTTTTTAATCCACTTGAAAAACCAATACTCAGAGTAGGTTAATTTTAGATTATTTCTAAAACAGACCCAAGGGGGCGTTGTCCTTATATATCCGGCCAGGTAAAACAGGAAAACAATTTGTGCGATAGTTAAATTTCCAGTTTTATTTGTTTCAAAATTAACCTGCCTTTCATTTTTTGAAGCCAAAATTGAACAATTTGTTTTTTTCGCACAAAAAAAAAAAATTTTGTTTGTTACTTCCATTTAAAGGCAAAATTAGATGTAAAACAGAGATACTTTGTCTAATCGCTATTTAAAGGGACTTTTTTTGATTGGCCATGGCCTTTTAAAATAAGCTTTTTTCGCGGAAATACAAATCAAAATTAAGGAAAACAAATACATTGGCAATGAAGATTCATGAAAAGTTATTTATCTTTAACTTTATTTATTATGCAGTTTACAGTAATTTGTTTGGATGTCAAATACTACTTGTCAAATTTTCTACTTTTATTAGCCGACTATGCAATATAGGTTGGAATAAATATCAAATTATTTTGAAGAAGGAAACCACCTTATACATTTTTAAATACTTGCTTAAACTGACTTTAGAATAACTTAAAAATGTCAAATTATGAAGGGTTATTCTCTTCCCCAAAAGGTAATGAATTGACTTTATAACATGAAATAACAATTATATCATTCATGTTTTTAATATTTTTTTCAATAGGCAAAACATTTTTTCCACTTAGACTTTTTATGCATTCATTACTATAGTAACACAGTTTCAGCACTGAATACGAAAAAAAAGTCTAAGTGAAAAAAATACATGAAAATACGCAAAAAATGATATCATCTTATATCAGTACTACTTTTTCAAACAGTTTCATATATAAACATACTTTAAAACTGAAAATGAAATACTGCTTATAATTTTTGTCACTTAGACCATCACATTTTTTTATAAAATAATTGCGAAAAAAGTCTAAGTGACTATGTTCACTTAGACCTTTTTCGCATTGACTGTTTTTCATATTTCAAGTAGTCTTTTTCCGTATTTTTTAAATATATATAAAAATTAATGTGTTGTGTTCAAGATTTTTTCACAGAAGATGTATATACAGATTTCAAACACATTTATGTAAAAAAGTGATTTTCTGAAAAAATGTCACTTAGACCTCTTTCGCTTTCACCCCTCGACATGCAAGCTTAAAAAATGTGCTTAGCCATTGTTTTTTTTTTTTTCATTTTTTTTTAATGCGTTTATTTAAGGTCGCCGCCGGAAAGCCCATATGGGCGACCGTACACTCAAGTCGGGCCATCCTAGAGCGTCCCGCCGAGATTTTTTCGTCGATTTTTTTCCAGCTTTTATTGGTGGAGGAAGACCCCAGGTGCCCCTCCGGGCATTATTTCAGGCTCGAGCGGGCACCCGAGTAATACCACCGACCTTCCGTAAGCCAGCTCATATATTGCTTTTGTTTGCTGAATTATCATCTCTTTGTCATGTAAGTACAGTGGCATTAAAGTGACATTTTTGTTGTTGTTTTTGATACTTATTTTGTTTTTGATACATTTTTATTTGGGTTTTCGTACATATTTTTTTTTAGTTATGCAGACATATCTTATTTAAGTTGTGCGTACATATTTTATTTTAGTTTTGCAGACATATTTTTAAGAAAATAGTATAAACGAAGTAAGTATCAAACAAATAAAAATAAAAAATAGATGTGTAAATGTCACTTTTATGCCACCGTATGTAAATGTAAAAAAAAAAAAAAAATAAAAAGAAAGAAAAAAAAAAAAAGAAATAAATAAAAATATAACACCCAAAAAACATAATGAACATAAAACAGGGAACATGATATTGTACAGTTGATAATCAGGTTACCATCCTGATCTTGCCTTAAAGTTTAAAGAATGCATATTCAAAATTATTAAGTTTCTATACGCAGCTCTTGTCACATTACGGCCAGTTTAAGAAAACACACACATCATTTAGTATGATATGCAATAAATGAAGTTTTTTTTTCGTTCTTTACTTACAGCAACACCGAATCTTACAAAGTACGGAAGAGTGAAACATGTAGAAGGTGTGTTGAACAGTTGCCAACGTAAGAAGCTTATAATTATTAACATTGTTTATTAGGTTATTAAGTATAGCAACGAAGAAGAAAATCACAAATGAAAAGTTCACTAGGAATGTAGGAATGAGCAAGTAATTTGGAAATTTTACTCAAAACTACCAAATTTTTAAAAAAAGGCGATGGAATATGGGCTAAAAGGATTTTTCTGAAATATTATACAATACATATATGTAGTGCAAGCTTTCCACGGAAACCCGTAACTTTTTCCAGGAACCCCGTGACAGTTATCATAAGAACTCCAAAACAAGTTATCATAAGAACTCAATCCTTTGTGTAACAGTTCCTTAGTTGTCAGTTAATTTAAGATGTTTGTCATCATAATATAACAATCTGTCATCACTTGCGCCTGTATAATGGTGTAGTGTTATTGTATAATCACTAGACGTCTCTCTAACGTAAATGTTGGTATTTTTGCACACCGTGTAAAGAGCAAGCTTATTTAGATAGTTAACTTCAGTTTTACAGGATTTTTACAGGTATTGCGCTCGGTTTAGAATTATCATATGTAATACATATGCGACTAAATTAAGGTGTTCAACAGGCTGGACTCACAATGGAGACTACAATTGTAGCATCCGTAAGTATAACTATATGTCATCTACTAATTAAAAGTGTCAAATCGGAATTAGTTTTAATTCTTCATAATTATTTTTATCAACTATTGATATAACTGCACTTAATTAGTAAGCCAGTCAACGTAAATATTAATACATTTCATTCATTATTTCATTTCTACAGATTTTACGGGTTGATATGTCCGATCCAATATTTAAAATCGAAGCAAACATCTTAAATTTTGGCAACTGAATGAGTGCATATGTCTATGTGTATCTGCGTGCGCGCGGTTGTCCTTGTGTGTGCTCACATGTGTGTACGTGCATAGGCTGAGTTAAAGAAACATCTTGACTGATTTCAGGATTTTAGAAGTGTGTGAATATTGCTGCTCCAGTCCCCCTGTCAGAACAAAGAATTTACTCTCTAAACAATTTGCCATTATAAACCCTTTAACCTTTTTTTCAGCAATATGTAGACCGACCTGCGGATCCGTTGGGGAGTGTGTGGCTCCTGGTAAATGTGATTGTAAAGGTCTGGCAAAAGGTCAATATTGTCAGGAGTGTAAGTCATCAAGTTGTTTATAATAATTAATTGTACGATAATAGAGCTGTATGTGTATAGAAAATAATGATTAATATGACATAAGTACTTACAAAACAAAATTTAGAAGTCAGATATTCCTAAGTTTGATGAAAACGATTGTTCAAATTAATGAAGTCTGCTTACTTTTTGGCATAGGTGTCGGATGTTTTGAACGGTATTTAAACGGAATATATAGGTGATGGGTTATAGATAGTTGAACATTGAAGAGTTAAGAGTAAGATATTCATGAATAATATATGATTAAATGTTAAAATTTGTGACTGTGAAAGAAGAGTACTCCTTACATTTAGACAATTTATTGACTATTTATTTATGTTTGCTATTATTTTAGTTTATGAATGTGATATTCGTTTTTATATGCCCGAAAGAATTTCGGACAAATTATGTTATACCCCTGGAGTCTGTCCGTCCGTCTGTCTGTTCGTCCGTTAGCAATTTGGTTTCTGGATCATAATTTAAGTTCTATTTGGCCCACAGTTTTCACACTTCATAGGATGATTGTCAGTATTGAAAATAAGACCCCTATAAATATTTGGGTCATAAGGTCAAAGGTAAGTGTCACTTAACACTGATAGTTGTGTTTTTAGCATAACACAAGTTCCATTTGGCTTTCAGTGTTCAATTTTCATAGGATGATGGCCTATATTGAATAAAAGATCCATACGGTTTGATAATACGTGATGTAAATTCCGATTTACAAGCATTCTTTAACTGTCAAATGATAAATATTTACCAAAATAGAGTAATAAATCATACATATTCTCACCAGTATTGACAACAAATATGACCTTGTGAAAGCTTGATATTAATTCCAAAAAATCGGTTCAACAGACTACTCCTTTTCTCTTGTTTACATTCGTTATTTTCGAAAGAAAATACGTCATGTATTTATGTGACGTCATGTAGTGATAAAAGGGTACCCTAAAGGGAATCTTATTTCGACGTTTCATTTGAAGTAGCAATGATTTATTTTAAAATCGTCGGGAAGGGTAATAAAATTATTATTTTGGTTTTGGAGTGTTATATAGAGGATATTTGTATGTTTGTGTGTAAGATGAAATTTTATTTCATCGATTGGGCTTTAAAAATAGTATCCTCACTCCTGGCTACGCCACTCGTGAGAATACTGTTTTTTAAGTTCACGAGACGAAATAAAATTACATCTTACACAACAAACAGACACATTTCTTTTTATTTTATGCTTAAAAAGAAGTTAATACGAAATTTCCATAATTTTAACGTTAATATTAAAACTGTTTCCCCCATTGAGAGCCCCATTTAGTCGGAATTTCTCATTAAAAACAAGAAGTTTTGAGCTGAAAATAAGTCCGCCAATCAACGTTAAATGATGGTGATATTTATTCATTTTATTAAAAAAATATGAATGATCGCTTGTTTTAATAATAAAAACAAACAATTCTTGTAGGAGAAAAAGTCCAACCATCAATCCATATTTCTGTTACTTACTGCGAATTTATATTAGACCTGGCTTTGTAAATTGTAAGCGGCAGCCATTTTTAAAGTTGTGTATTTCATGGGAGGAAAATAATTGTGTAAGAGTCAGAGGGATATAATTTGCATTTGTTAGTCGTACACCTTTTTAAAAGAAAGAAAACTTATTTGAGGATTGTAACAGACAAAAAATTAGTGTTGCACAGATGTGAAAACAGTCAGAAAAGGAGCTAGGAAAATGGAAAACTTGGAAGCTTGCCAAGAACGCTGGGTTGTTTTACTTATCTTCGAGTGATGGCTGTCAATGCTTTTTAATTTTTCATAAAAGCATTACGGCAGTTATTGCTCGTAGGATACTTTTAAATATGCCCAAATGTCATCAAGAGCAGTTTTGCATGGGGAAGGAATGTATTTTTCAGACTGTAAAAATGAAACAAAAATCTAGAGACGAAATTTGGTGATTGGAATTTGATGAATAGATAATAGTTTTCTTCTTCTTATTACTTTTGACATTTAAGTTATTTATCAATTTCAGCTTTGCTTTTTCTTTAAACAGCCTGACATTGTCAGAATTGTCAGCAAAAATAAAATTGAGGTACCACATGGGGAAAATCTTAAAAAAGTAGTTTCGTCATTGAAAAGAGTGAAATTATATTTTGATAATTTTCACTGTGAAATTACCAAATATAATTTTCACGGATAAATCAGTAATCCACTGAAAAGCATAAATAAATGTGGATATATTATCTGCCAAGATAAAATATCACACTCGCCTAACGGCTCGGGTGATATAAAATCTTGACAGGTAATATATCCACATATATTATTCCAAAACCAAAATAACATATAATTTTGAATACGTTAATTTAATGTATATGCCCTTAAAATTTGCTTATTTTATGCTATACCCCTGGCATCTTTCCGTCCATCCGTCGTAGCATTTTTACTTACAAGATAACAACTTGATGGTGGTGCTTTGGAAGCAGTAACTTTATTAATATATATGAAGGAGGATTGCTTTTTGAAGGAGGTAATACTTATTTCAATGTGTTTATGTATCAATTTCTTTAATTTTTGTATACATTGTATTTATTTCCTTCATAAATGAGTACGGTGAAAGATGGCTGTTTTACAGAAGTCACAATCGCTTTTGTTTATTCATCCAAGACTAACACTTTTCGGGCATATAATGTTCCACCTAGCGGTGTTCTTTCTATACATATATGTATCGATTACATTGCATTTGGAAAAAAAGTTTTAAGTTTTATATCTTTTTTTTTTATTTTAATTCACGCATGTTTGATTTTGTATCTCTCAATTGTGTATTTTTTTCTTTCTTTTCTTTTTTTTTGTATTAATTTACTGAAATACCCTATAATAAAGTTTACATTTTTCACATGGTGGTTTTTGCATAACCAGTCGCATATTTTCAGCAAAAGAATTATCATAACACACTTTTCAATTTCCGTGGAAGATCTGGAAAACGTTACTTTTAGCTTTTAAATTTCAATACATAATATTCAAGCATCTGAAATCTTCGTTCGTATCTATCATGAAAACAAATTTACAATTTTTCTTATTTAATCTTTTGTATGAGTTATACCTCTTTTTTAAAAATCCAAGTGACAGTTGGGGGAATAAATTCTATTTAGAAACCACAATATGTTATTAAAGCAAGATGCCTATATCTTTGAAATCTGTTTGCAATTATTGTAGTGATTTGTATGATTGTAGCATTGACAGAATCACAGAAATGGACGGGGTGAGTTGTTGATGATAATTTCAATATAATATCTAACTCATGACTTCATGTTAATAGCTTATAATTATAAGAGTTTCATTTTCATGTTAAATTTTACATTCTTAGCGGAGGGCCGTGGCTTTTGAAATAATTCTTTTTATATGTTTAATTTGACCTTCTGAGCGGATGGCCGTGTTTTTGAAATAATTTTGCATATGCTTAATTAGACATTCTAATAAAGCGATTGACCGATTCATTCGTATAAACCATATTTATTATACTCCTTATTCCTCCTTGTACATTCTCAAACAATTTTGACTTTGACATGAGGAGAAAAAAATGTGCCTTTAATGTTTCCATAAAAGCATTGTAGAATAGTATTACTATTTTTTTGGGTAATACTTTTTACCAAATTGTAAAGAGAGAAAAACACCCTTAAACTTTCATAATGTTCGTAGCCATTTTTTCTTTTATTTCCATTTGCGTAATCATTTATGATCTAAAACAAACAAAAAACCCTGAGAAACGAAAACAAAAATACTACTTTTACAATGGGAACATGATATTGTAGAGTTGATAATCGGGTAACCATGATTGTAAATTGAACAAAGCATGAAGCTTCTGCGCAGTTTTTGTCACGTGATGGACAGTGAATATTTTGTTTATAAACACACCATTTGACTGCGTACCTTTACATAATGCTGCAAGCTTAAAGAAAGCATGATAATCAAAACTTAATGGTATTAGAATTTCAGTTTTTTTAACGAAGTTATTAAATTTCTTTATCAATTCATTAAAAATTTCGTTTTTTTGGGGGGTTTTCTTTTTTTCCCTGAAAAGAAAAATTCAAATCCCCAAAAAGAAATGGAGCCCGGGGCCCCTTTCAAATTTTAAACAAAGGGTTCCCCTTTTAAGGGGAGGGTTTTTTGAAAATCTTTATATAAGTAAATCTTTTTAAAGGCCCCCAAAAAAACATAAGCAAAAGAAAACGCCTCGGCCTTTCACCTATTAAAAAAATAAAATTTTTAGGGGAAAATGCCCGGGGTTTTAAAAAATTAGGAAAAGAATATTAAAATACTTTTTAATAGATTGGGTCGTTTAAAAAAAACTAAAAGATAAAGGGGGTTTCTAAGATTTAAACTTTAAACAATTTGAGAAAAAAAAAATGATTTCTAGATTTGTCCTTTTTTAAACCCTTGTTTTATATAACTATATTTAAAACATTTACACCAATTACGAGCGTAGTTTTTATTTAAAAATCAAAAAATTAAAGTTCTGTCTCAACAGTCGTACATAATACAAAAAATTCAAAAAATTTTGTTCAGGTTTTATTTTTCCTTAAGTCTAAAACTTTTTATGAAGCTTTTTTGTATATAGAAAAAAATGTTATCTATTTTTAAATTTTAAATGAATTTGGGTTTAAAAACAAAATATTGATTTTTTTTGCTATAAGTTTTTTTTTACATGTATGCAATACATTGTTTTTTTTTTTTCTTTCTTACAGCATAAACCCAATCTTTTAGAAATTTTGGGAAACAGAAACATTAAAAATGTATTCCCCAATATCGAAGAAAAGCTAAAAAAATAAAAGATACTTAATTCATGGAACAATTTTCTTTTTTTGGACCAATCGTCAATTGCTGCATTTCTTTCTTGGATGCCCTTTGAGGCTTTGCATCAATGCTTCTATTGTTTGTATATATGATGTGTTATGACACCAGTTACGGCGGGAGTGATGACAGATTGCCTTTAAGTTAGATCTCACAGAAATCTGAAATTAAGTGATGACTATAGTCAGTTTATTATAATGATTATATCAACTTGCAAACCATATTTATAACTGTAATTAGTGAATTTAAGATAGTTGTTATCACACTACTGCAATTTGTCATAACATGCGCTGGTGTTACGTTGTGTTTTTCTAGACGTCTCATTTACTCATATTTTTTCTAACTGTGTAAAGCAAGCTTATTTAAAGAATTTTCTTCCGTTTTACAGGTATTGTGTCTTTTGGGGAAATTCCAAATGTTCTACGCTTGTGACTAAACTAAGGTGTTCAACAGGCTGGACTACAACAAATAGGAATATACAAAAAATTAGA